GGCAAAGGCAGGAGGATCTCTCTAAGTTTGAGGCCAGCCTGGTCTACAGAGTAAGTTCCAGAACAGTCAGGGTCATTACACAGAGAAACCCTGTCTCAAACAACAACAACAACAAAACAAAAAAAGATTACCCAACTTAACACAATCAGAAATGAACACAAAAAACGTTACAATAGGCATTAAGGAAATTCAAATATTATGAGAGAATATGTTAAAAACCTGTACTCCATTAAGCACGAAACCCTAATAGAAATGGGTAAATTTCTAGACTCAATCAAAACACCAAAATTGAACTAAGAAGTTAACAACTTAAAGAGATTCATAACAAATGTGGTTGAAATAATAATAAAAGCCTTCTGATCAAAACAAAACCTGAGCCCTAATGGGTCCACAGAGAATTATACCAGACGATTGACAACCAATACTCCTTAAATTATTTTCAAAAAGGAAAAGAAACAGGAGGAGCAGCCCCAAGTTCATTCTATGAAGCCAAATCCAGGTAAAGACAAAACAAAACAAACAAAAGTTACAGACCAATTTCCAAAGGATACAGACTCAATATTCCTCAAAAATTCTAGTAAACCAAACACAGGCTAATATCAAAATCATCTACCATGACTAAATTTGCTTTATTCTGGAAACAAATGCTGGATGAGTCAACAAACATAACAAGTCATATAAATATATATTACATCATCTTAATATATGAAGAAAAACCTTTGATGATACCCAACATGTTTTGACAATAAAAGCCACAGAAAGCAGAACTGGAGGGAACATACTTCAACTTAGAAAGCCTACATAGGACAAACCCACAGACAATATTACCCTAAATGGAGAAAATTGTGAAGCAATCCCATTAAGACAAGGAATGAAACAGGCCTGATCATTATCTTCCCCTTAGCCCCTGCCTTTTCAATATAGCACTCGAAGCACTAGCTGGATCAATAAAGCAAAAGAAGGAAATTAAAGGTATACAAAGAGGAAAAAAGTCAAATTTCTGTATTTGCAGAAGAGCTGATATTATATGTAAGAGATTCCCAATATTCCACCAGGAAACTTCTAGAAACAATGACATTTCAGCAAGTGGCAGAATACAAAACCAACTTACGACATCAGTAGCCTTTCTATACCCCACTAACAATCATGCTAATAAGAAAAGATTGTGGATACAATCCCATTGATAATAGCTTCAAAGACAATAAAATGTTGTGAAAATTAACCAAGAAACCTTGTCAAAAACAACAAAAAACAAACAAACCCAAAACTAACCAAAAGAGGTGAAAGACTACCACACACACACAAATCAAATTTCTGAGGGGGAAAAAAAATTGACAAAGATTCATAGACTAGTAGAATATTGTGAAAATGACCATCCCACCAAAAGTAACGGAAAACAAATGCTGGTGAGGATGCTGGAAAGTGAACCTTCATTCATTGATAGAAATGCAAACTGTTGCAGCCACTCTAGAAATAATCTAGATAACCCTCAAAAAACTAAAGAGAAATCTACCATAATGCCCAGCAGTAACACTTGTCGCCATATGCCCAGAAGACTTGACATCTTACTCCAGACAGATACTTGCTCAGCAACGTTCACTGATACCCTATTCACTATCAAGGAAATGAAAACAAATGTATTTCAATAGATGAATGGATAATGAAATGTTGTACATATGGAATTCTATTCAGCTGTAAAGTAAAGTGAAATTATTAATGTTGAAGGTAAATGGATGAAAGAAACTAGAAAATATTATATTGAGTAAGGTAACCCAGACCCAGAAATACAAAAGCTTTATGTCCTCTCTCATCAGCAGTTCCTACCTCCAAATCCTCAGACTGAGTATACAACATGGAGTAAACAGGAAATCATAAGGGCTGGGATAGGGGATGAGAGGAGAATAACAGGATACAGGTAATATGAAAGAGGAAATGGGAAAAATGGCGAGGAGAAACTTCAAAACAGAAGGAGGAAGTTACTGGATCTAACCTGAATGCCTCCTTTCCTGTGGTTTAGCTTCCATAGTACTAGAAAGTAGAAAAGCTTCCAAGAGAAAAGCAATCAACAGTCCTATCCAGCCATGTGATACCTATGAACCACAACAATAACCAGCATGGTAAGAGATCCTTCAATGTGCAACAACAGTATTTAAATGTTGGCACTAACCAGCAGCTATCTAATTAGACTTAAGGCCTGTTAACAGGAGGAAATCATGCTGGGTACTAGAAACCTAGCCAACTACCCAGGACTAGTGATCTTAGAAGAGAACTTAACTACTGTCACTTTACTAGACCAGCACAATTCATGCATTTATATATGTAACAATAATAAAGAGATCATCAATTTGTGACTCATGTGAATACGATTACATTCTAAAACATATTTTTTATACCCACAGATAAGCATAGCTTGCACTTCTCATCAAAAAAGCCTCTTCACAGCAAATGGAAACCAACACAGAAAACCACAACTGGTCAAAACGTGGAGATGGGGTGTCTAGTTCCAAGTAATACATCTAAAACACAATCCCTGTACCTTAGGTTCAATGAACATCATGGAAGTTACGGTTAGAAAGACTAAGAGCCTAAAAACCAGAAAGTCTGCTGGGAGGTTACGTATCATAGAAATGACAGGGAAGTTATACCCATGAAACCTGAACACTGTGGCAGCCTGAATACAACCTAAATAAGAGCTATATCAAGTTATGTTAATGCAGAAGGTTGACATTTATTTCATGAGGTCTCACCCCCAAAGAACTATAGGCAACTAATGACAGTTGAGACACAGAAAATTAGTCTATCCCAAGGATGACCTTCCTAATTGGTTACCTAATACAAAACAGTCAGCTCTGAAATTGTATATACACATGCAACAAAAAATGGATTCAGAATTCTGTGTTAATGTGTTTACATAAAGAGGTTGTCAATTTGTGATAGGAATGGAAGAGGAGGACATGGAAGGCTGGAGGGAGGAAAAGAGGAAAAGTGATGCAATTACATTGTAATTTAAAAAAATAAAAGAAAAAGAAAAGCTAAAGAACTGTGTGCAAAGAATGGGAGAACTAGACAGTCATCATTTTGTCACTCTTTAAATAATGCATCTAAGGAATAATCAATGACTATTTGAAAAGAAAATTGTATTTTCTCCAAATCTTAGTGAATATAAGGAATGAAATGGCACACAATAAATAGCACAATCACTGGATTTTGGGCAAGTGGTTCATCTGTCAAGTGGACATAAACTCCTGTGTTGGACAATCTGTAAGGAGGAGCCTCGTTTCTCCTTCCTCCCAGAGAAAAAAAAACTCAGAATCCCAGGCTCACAGGCAGCTCCCCATTGAGCTATTTTGCTGGTTCAGCTTGTCATATTAAAAGAGGTAATATTTACAAAATGCTTAGAACAATATGATAGCACTGACTACTTACTGGTAATGATACCACTTGCTTTAAGTTTATTCCAAAGTGATGGCTACCTTGGGAAAATAATGAATGACAAAGAAGGGACAAAAGTTTTCAAAAAGAAACATTTATTCTATATAATATTGTTGGGTTCAAAAGGGTCAGTATCAATCATATTTTACAGTGCAGTGAGTGTCTTATTAAACAGAAAAGTATTTGTCACATGATACCATCATGATTTTCTTACCTTATCCAAAAGATGTATTATCATTGGTACAAGATTGGCATCAATTACTGCCTGAACCTGCTGTTGATTTCCTGCGGTGATGTTGGAGAGGAACCAAACTGCTTCCTGTGAAACAAGATGCTTTCAATATTTCTTTCTAAAAAATAGAACCTCTGTCTGAACTCTGAAAAAGTATTCACCGACTAGTGTCCCAATTATTTTATTACTGAATGAATAGAATACTAATAGAAATCTTAGAAATTTCAATTCTACGATCCCTTTACATATACATACATATATATATATTAAATATATATGTCTACATATATATTTGATTAAAAGCAATTTCTTGTTTTCTTTTTCTTTTTTTAAACAAAGAAAAGGTCTCATTGTGTAGCCCTGGATGACCTAGAACTCCTAGAGATCCACTTGCTTCTTTTGTTTCCTAAGTGCTGAAATTAAAGGTGTGAGCTACCATGCCTAGCCCACCGCATTTTATTTTTTATATAACAATATAGTTTACACATTAACTAATTAATACCTTTCTTTGGATAACTCACTACTGGCTTCTAATTCAAGTCATAATGAGCTAATTCTTCTAAAGAATTTTTACAGGCAATGCTGTCTGAGAACAGTATGGCTTAAAAGAAGCTTGGCTGAACAAATACAAGGAAGATGTCATAAATTATACATCCTAAAACTATTGCGAATGAGATTCAGCACCCTTTTATCAAATAACATATTTTATCCTACTCTCTCTAGTCTACTTTAACAATCCTATCCCAGCAGATAAATCTCAATTAGCCATGTCAACGAAGACCATCAAAAATGCAAGTGAGTTCTTTTAGTGTCCTCATTTATAGTAGTCATTCATTGTACACATTCTCTCAAGAGCTACATGTGGAACTAGTTGTTGCTTTGCAAGATTGGTCTATTTTAATGACCTTTGAATGCTTCTCTTAATACCACAAAGATGCTATGCTATTGCTAGGAAGATACTGATCACAGTGTTTCACAAGTTTCAAAGATAATAAATGCATTACTAGGGGCTGGAGAGATGGCTCAGAGGTTAAGAGCACTGACTGCTCCTGGAGAGGTCCTGAGTTCAATTCCCAGCAACCACATGGTGACTCACAACCATCTGTAATGAAATCTGGTGCTCTCTTCTGGCCTGTAGGCATACACTCAGACAGAACAGTGTATACATAATAATAAAAAATAAATATTTAAAACAAAATAAATTCATTACTGAAATCCAAGTTTACGATAACAACAAAATATTTACCATCCTATGAAGGATATTATTAAAATTTACCAAACTTAAAATTCACCAATTTATTAATTAGTATTGTAAACACTAGCATAACTAGACTCTCTGGATCAGATCACAGGACATTTAATTAGCCTGTTAGAGATTTTAGGGTGTTAGGCTACTTAGGTGAGCTGTTTTTTGGGTTATAATCATCGGCAATGTTGTAATTAACAACCCATGTTATTTCTACAACAGCCTCAGATGCACTCCAATATCAGCATCACCAATTCAGTGCCCCCTTTCATAGCCACTACATACACACACATTCACGCACTCAGACTATTAAGTATAAATGAAACATTAAATGAGAACTATTCTACAAATTAAAAATTTCCATTCAAACAACATTCAACACCCAAGTATCTCTATTTCATCATTTCCAAGAGAGCCTAAAGTATAATCTGTTGGTGATAGTATAGTATAACTCAGTGGTAGAGCATGTAATTAGCAAGTCAAAGGCTCTGGGATTGAATCCAGAATCCCATAAGCACTTATAAAATGTGAGATATTTTCTATTGAAATCTTTAACAGCATATATTAAAAGTCGACATATAAAACCATTCCTTGGAACCTAGTTTCACAAACAAAAACTTCCATTTTATTAATAATTTTTAAAATACTTACTTTATTAATTTTTTCTTTGGGATGAGTGAGGAGTGCTGGGAAGTGTGAAAGAGCATCACAGTTTAAAACTACTTGTGTTTGCTCATCAGTTCCAGTGACAATGTTGCCCACAGCTCGAAGTGCAGCAGTCTGAAATGGAAGACTCAATGAGATGTTCAATGTGAAGTACTCTCTCTTATTAACCAGTGTCAGGCAACTTGAGTCAGATTCATTCCTTCACACAAATCTTTCACTGTAACTAACTTATCCCTTTTGAGCACTTACTCTATGTCAGGAACAATAGTAATCTAGGAACAACAATTCTAGGCCTTAGGTGGCTTAAGTTATTTCAAGAGAAGTGATATCAATAAACAGGCAATTTTAGATAGTAATTACTACCATAAAGGAAATAAAGAAGTAATTTTCATTTTCTGTTTATTTTTCCTCTCTATTAGATAAATGATCCAGCTGTTTAAATACACAAACTTATTCTTTAAAGAACAGGCAATTTAGTACTTACTAGAGTATTCCAAGCTGCACAATTAATATCAACATCAAATTAAAACATTTTTATTATATCCCCAAGAACACTGTCCTCAATCCCAGGTCTCTGACAACTCAGACAATTAATCTGTATATTCTGTACATTTCATATAAATAGAAACAAGTTCATGTCATGGCACCTAGTGGTACTCATTCCTTTTTGCGACCAAGTAATAATCTGTTAAGTGGTTAGTAACCATTTACTTTCGTTTTGGGGTTGCTATGAAAATGCTGTAATAGGCATTGTGTTCAAGTTTCTTCGTGGACAAATGCATATCCATAATCTTGGATATACGGAACAGTAAGTATATTAAGTCACAATGTGCATTGTATTTTACTTTTAAGAATACTATCCTATAGGCTACTATAAGCAGTGTAATTCCCTTTGTCTGCATTGTTGCCATTTTAACTTAGTCATTCTGAATGTGACTTTCTAATAATTCAACTCACATTTCTTTAATAACTAATATTGTTGAACATTTCTTTTTCAGGTGCTCACGGACCATTTGTACTTCCTTTCTTAGAAAACTGTGCCTATCTTTTGGCCATTTTTGTTTGTTTTTAATGTATGTGAGTATTATTTTGCTTGCATGTAGGTCTGTGTACCACACATATGCCTGGTACATGAAGAGGCCAGAAGGCATAGGATCCTCTGGAACTGGAGCTACAAATGATTGTGAGCTGCAATGTGAATGCTCAGAATCAAACCTGAGTCCATCTCCCCAGCCTTGTTTTTAAAAAGTCTTAATTAGAAGATGTCCAGTAGATGAAACAATATGCTACACAAGATTATAATTATGTCTAAATTTTAGGTGGAGTAGGGATATAGATGAAGTCTACATGGGGATTGGTCATACTATTTTTTCAAGAATTCTGACATGAAAGTTGAAAAGCTTAAGAAATGTCTGTTAGTTCTCTGATAAAGTCTAAAGCATTAACTTTCTCTAAGGACTGACTAAAAGAAAACACTAAGCCCAACACTCTCAAGCCACAATTCTAAGGCCAGTATTAAAACTAAAGAAGTATATTCTGCTTGACTTTTTTTTGGGGGGGGGCATGTAGGGGGAGATATGTGAGTGCAGGATTTCATGAAGCTAAGGCTAGCTGTGTGATCTTCCTACTACCTAAACCTTGAAAGTGCTCGGATCACAGGCTATGCCCAATGAGAAGTAAAAATAAAATAAAACCAACAAACTTATCTAATGTAAATTTGGGGTTGGGCTAGTGGCACAGTAGGTGAGAGCTGCTAAATCAAATCCCAGAAAACCTTGTTAAAGAGCCAGCTGAGTTCATGTGTCCCACCTGTAACTCTAGTACAGTAGGGATGGAATGGAGACAGGTCACCCAATGTCCTACTCTGGTTTCTGGATGCATACCTGTTGCACATACACATGTGCATATATCACACACACACACACACACACATATATATATATAAAGATAGGCAAATTTTTTAATAATAAATGTATAACAAAGACACACATTTATTTAAAAAAAATAACTGTTGGCCAAATCTTTCTGAATTAGGTATTTCCTTTTATAATGTTTCAATTTTTAAGGAAAAAAAAAACCTTTTTGTTTTTATTTAGTTTGTGTATATATGTACATAAGCTTGAGAGAGCAATGTTACGTGTTTTTCTCTATTGCTTGTCACTTTTGTTTTTTGCCAAAGTTTCTCACTGAACCTGGAGCTCCCTGGCATACAGGGTACTCTACTTCCCTAGTGCTGGGTGACAGACACAAACTGCCACATGAACATTTATGAGGATGCTGAGGATCTGAACTCAGGTCCTCATGCCTGCACTTTTAAGTTAATGTATCTCCATAGTTAACTACAGACTAGTTTCACTTGAAGAGCTAGCTTAAATTTGTAGGAAATATAATGGTTATAATGGTTTTACTCAATCTCTAGGGGCTAAGGAAGGAAAATTTTTAAAAAGTTTTTTTCTTTTCTTTTTTTAATTTTAATTTAAGCTTCATGGTTGATTTCAATGTCCAGCTAAGGGCAAGAATAAATAACTAATGCAAACAGCTTAAACAGCTTTCCTTTAAAGCTCACTCTTTACCTTAAAAAGGTATGTGTGGGTGTTGTGTGCTTGCTTAATTTCCTTTATCACTGCAGTTAAACTATCTCTCTGTGTGTGGGGAGGAGGGAGGACTAGAGGCTGAACTTTGCACAAATAAGGCAAGTGCTGAGCTATATCCTCAGCTCCAACTATAGCTTTTCCCCTACTTGTTATACACAGAATATTACTGGGAAGGAATATATGAAAGGACTTAACCTAGAGAAACAATTAGGAAGCCCTTAAACTGCACATTTCAGTTCAAATCCTTTATCTCAGAATCAGTAAAACAGTATTAACCAAATTTGTTAACAAGAATAGTTTCAGATGCCACCCAAGGTACTACACAAAAGCATGCTTCTCTAGAGTACAAATTAGCTCTTCACAGTAGAGTCTCCCTGTTTGGCAGGGTAAGGGAGGTTCTTAGTGAACTGGAGTGCTCTTATCTCATTTCCTCCAATTTAAAATTAGGATAAAATGACTCACCTTTCCCCATCAAAGACACATTACATTGTTAGGCGAATAATATGCTTTACATTTTTGAAACTGGTAATCTTTAAATGTCATGCTCAATTAGTGTTGAGGAAAACCCATCTTAATCAAAATGAACTTACTTGAACTTTAACTTCCTGGTGGCTGAGTAGAGGAACCAAATGAGGAACTATCCCGGAGTCTATTACCATTTGTATCTGTTCATTGCCAGCATCCGTAAGGTAGGAGAGGGCCCAGACAGTATCTACCAATATCTAATAAGTAAAATAGAAGTTCAAATCTTAAGTATTTCCTCATTTTAATATTTCTTTTCTCACTTGGGGGGGGGGCAGTTCAAAATAGGGTTTCTCTATATAGCTCTAGCTGCCCGGGAACTAGCTCTGTAGACCAGACTGGCCTCAGATCTGCCCCTATCTCCCAAGTGCTGGAATTAAAGGTAGATGCCACCACTTGGCCATTTTAATAATTCCTAACCACAAAACCAATCCGAAATATTTCTCTTCTTGCTTCAACTCACTAGAACATCAATCTCTACTCTGTATCTTTAACTACATTTAGGATGTATAAATTAATTATGGTCCTAATCTCTGATCAGTATCGAATCTTAAGGCAGTAAACTATATAGCACATTAAATAGAAAAATGAACCAACACCCCTCCCCCCCCCACACACACACAGAGAGAGAGGAGAGAGAGAGAGAGAGAACGGAGACGGTGGTACTCCTGGGAGCTTAAGGCAAAAGATTTTCAGAGAGGCAGCCTGCCATTATAGTGAGACCTTGTCCCAGTAAGTAAAACAAAACAGAACATCAAATCAAAGAATTTATACAAAATGAAATCAACACATGTAAAACAATTACATCTCAATTTACAAATATCAGGATCTTTGTCTGAAGTTTCATTATAGGCTAAAGTTTGTTGACAAAGGCAAAAAAAATAATTTAAAGTTTTTTTGGTCATGTCATGTATAAATACTGTATATTCTTTGAAGGCCCAATGATAACAGGTCATTAATGTACCTAGATCCAAATTCTACTTCAAATCAAACTAAAGCTTTTACATGTCTGTATCTGACAAAATTTATACTGTAAAATAACTTTCTCATTTTGTTTCTTTGAGGTCTGATTTAAGAGTGACTAATTCTAACTTAACAAGGCTATACATACAGTAAATACTATTTAGTAAATGATATTATTTGTGAAAGAAAGCCCTAGAAATAATAATTCAAACGAGAAATGATTCAAGATTCATTAAAAGTAGAAAAAAAGGGGGAGGGCTCAATCTCATCTACAGGTGGATAAACAAGTATAAAGAAAAACAGCAAAGTGGTTTTGTATTCTAATAGTTACAAATGTTACTACAAATCTTTGAAAACCAGAACACTGAAATTTAAATTTAATCAAAAGACTCTGCTATAACTGGGGAGATAACCCTGAAAAAATGGAGCTGAAGAGCAACAGGTTTTCATAATTTGGCATATGTATATAAGTACAAATTCTTATATTTAAGCTAAATATTAATTTATGCCTCAAAATATAAAAAATACCACCATTTGTATATACTCTCAGAGGTCATAAGTAATCAATAATTACAGTGAGAGATGACTACATCTTTATGACAGGTGTGATTCTTCACTGAAGCTAGTTTATGATAAAGGAAACAAGAGTATAGGTATATATAAC